ACAACATTTTCGCTAAGGAAAAAGTTGTTTCAAATCACCTCCCGAACCACTCATTTCAAGGTGTTACAACATTTTAGGGACACCCTGTATAGACGCGCGAGGCGTTATTTGTAACCGAGGAACTCGACGAAAGAGTGAGTGATGTCGAGCGAAGGGAAGGTCCGAAGAGGGGAGAAGGTAGCCACCGCGAGAGAGGTCACTCATGGAATTACGTGGAATGGAATGGAATGGCATGGACGTAGCCAGTTCGTATTGAACTGCCGAATCGCGCGGATCGGCGCACGTGCGTGTTGCTCGCTTTCTCGCCCCTCTCTCGCTTTTTCGACGATAGTCCTATCGCGGTTGATCCACGACCGGCCGCGCCGACAGGACCTCGAAATTGGATATCTATGTGCAGGTGCGATCTCTGATCTCGTTCAGTGCGATTCGGATTTGGATTTATTATTCAACAATTTTTCGATTTATTTTTCTATTTATTATTGTTAGAATTCAGTGATAAGTCAAGGTTCGATTATGAGTATAAATGTTGTGGAGAATGCATGGAAAGAGGCTTGAGTCAAATGTATAAATTTAGAAATGAAGATATGGCGATAGGATTTTTTTGTTCTTTTTTTTTATAATAGAAAGATAGGAAAGAGTCTATGGTTTTTTCTTTATGTGGAATTTCATTGTAAAATTTCATTGTAAAATTTTATTGTTTGAGGTGACCGCTGTCTAAATTAAGAAATTTGTTTAAATTAAATAATAGGTTTACTGGCTTCAAATAAGTATTTCATTGTAAATGTATACTTAAATAACGTTTAAGATTGTATATGTTTATAAGGAAATATTTATTTGGAGACGTAATAGCTTAGTTGAGGTCCCAGAGAGGTGGTGGGGGTAGCCATGCGACACTTACGCAACAATGTACCCGAATGTAACCTCTAACTGGTATCATGGCGAACACAAAAGCCCTATACACATTGACAAACGATTTTTCTGGTAATAATTGATGATGGAGTGATTGGAAATTTGGCAGAAAAATTTCAAATTTTTATCGTGTTTAGTTCTTGAAGTAGATTCCAGTAAATATTAAACTATTTAAGGCAAATCTCAATGAAATTGTTGTCAATTTGTTGGAAAAGATTTGAAACTTGGCAGAGTTACTACTTACAATAATAGGAAGAAGCCCTAAAAAATGCAAATTTTTATTTCAATTATTTCTTTGTAAATCAGCCTTGCAAAAATGAATCTACTTGTGGTAAAGCTTCATGGAATATTTGTCAATCAGTTACTTTTAATTTTCCAACTCCAATGAAAATTGATGGAACGACTTGAAACTAGGTACAGTTGTTACTTAGACTAATAGGAAGAAGCCCTAAAAATTACAGATTTTTATCTCAATTATTTCCCTATACACCAGTCTTGTAAACATGAAGTAATTTATGGTAAAGCTTCATGAAACTTTTGTCAATTGGTTAGTTTTAATTTTATAACTCTGGTGAAAATTGATGGAATGATTTGAAACTAGGTAGAGTTGTTACTTATAATAACAGGAAGAAACTTTAAAAATTACAGATTTTTATCGTAATTATTTCTTTGTAAATCAGCCTTGCAAATATGAATCTATTTGAGGTAAAGCTTCATGGAATATTTGTCAATCGGTTACTTTTAATTTTGTAACTCGGGTAATAAATGATGAAACGATTTGAAACTTGGCATAGTTATTAGTTATAAAGATGGGAAGAAGGCATAAATATTTCAGAATTTTATCTCAATTATTTCCTTATACATCAACCTTGCTATTATGAAACTATTTATGGTAAAGCTTCATGAAACTTTGGTCAATTGGTTACTTTCAATTTTATATCTCTGGTGAAAATTGATGGAATGATTTGGTCGAGATGTTACTTATAATAATAGGAAACATCCCTACAAATTTGAAACTTTTATCTCAATTATTTCCTAGCATATTAGCCTACGTAAAACAATTTTTTCCACTAAAAATACTTCACAACATTTTACAATAAATACACTTACTACAATACAGCCACTTCATAGTACCTACACCTAATGCGATATAGTCACTGTATTATAAATATACTTACTACAGGTTACTATCTACTCTTCCATAGCCACGCGACACTTACGCAACAATGTATCCGGAACATAACCTCCGCCTACTATCTCCTCCATCTCCTCCCAATCCAAATTGACAAACGACTTCTGCCACAAGAAATGGTTCTCCGCGCCTTCGATAATTCTTCTCCGAACACCCTGTATAAGGATAGACTGTAGATCTCGTGTACATGGGAGTTTAGTATGTGCGCCACGAGTATTTCGCGTCGAGCGAGCGGCCACGGTTGCAGGGTAGTACTTACGTACGTATGTATAGAACGTAGTTAGGTACCGGGCATGCATCTTTATTATTGGTCGAGAACCCGTACGTGCAGCGAGGTTCGATGAACCTTTACAGCTATGTATACGGGACGCGTACTCTTCTGATTGAAGCTCCGCGGTGTACATTCGCTGAAAATCCGCTGGGTCTCACCGGTTCTCCTGGGAACCGGTGCCTCCTCGGTGCTGATGTAACTGGATCCCAAGGGGTGCCACATTAGGTGGAGAAATTCATTCTGTGGGGTATTCGATCATTAGTATATAGATACAATTGGAGTACGGTCAAGGAGAATTGTTAGGAATAATTATTAAGGTAGATGTTACATGTTTCAATCATTTGTATATGGATACAATTGAAGTACAGTCAAGGAGAGTTGTTAAGAATAATTATAACAGGAATTAGATGGAGAAATTAAGTCTGTGGGGTATTCGATCATTTGTATATGGATACAATTGAAGTATAGTGGAGGAGACTTGTTAAGAATAATTACTGATTTTGAGTTAGATGTTGGAATATTTCTGGATTGAATAGAAATATTGTCTTGTTTGTTGTTGTGTGTTACCATTGGCAAACTAATAGGGTCTTGACATGGTTTATTTTTTAATGAATCTATAGTGCAGTAGCCACATATTTTTTGGTTATTAGTGTTATCATTAACAACAGTGGAACAGATATCAATCATGTACTTGGTTATTATAGTAATTGTAAAGGAATAATAATTAGCAAAATTTTATTGACAATATTGATGCACCGTGCTGGGGATTAAGTTCAGGATTTGGAAGGTATTGTAAGAAAATTTGTAGTCTAGTGAACTTTGCGTAGATGCATTGCAGTGGCCACCAGGTTGAGACCTAGGTGTACTGATTCATTATAATGTCCATCAGGTTGAAACACAGGCTAGGTACATCAATTTTTGTAATGGCCATTAGGTTGATACCTGCGTTTATTATTCTATTGTAATGTCCATCAGGTTGAGACCTAGGTATATTGATTCATTGTAATGTCTATCAGGTTGAAACGTAGGTATATTGATTCATTATAATGTCTATCAGGTTGAGACACATACTATGTACATCGATTTTTTTAATGTCCATCAGGTTGAGACGTAGGTATATTAATATATTGTAATGTCCATCAGGTTGAGATCTAGGTCTATTAACCTGTTGTAATGTCCATCACGTTAAGACCTAAGTATACTAATTTATTGTATTATAGTTCAGATTTCAGATTTGAAAGCTATTTTATTAAAACTTCTATTCTACTAAACTTCATATACTCGCATCCCCATTTCCATCATATTGCGATCTACATACATAATTCAATTCCCTTACAAATCAGTTTAATCTCTCGAAAACTATTCTTCCTCCCGTGTACCCCAAAATGGTGCCCAAACATTTCCCCCACTCCCCAGAAACAACCCCAAACAAGAAAATACAAACGCACGCAACGAACCAACCTGCCCTTGAAACAACTTCGACTTGCTTGTTTATCCGTCCCTGGGACTCAGTATCTTATATCTATAGATATTCGTCGACTTATCGCGGTAGAATTCGCTTCTTATCACGCCACCTCGAGTCCTCTGTCAGTATTCGCGACGTTCGTGTGCACCAAAGCGGTGCAGCTACAGTGAAAACGACCCGATGGTGACGATCCTTCTACACCCAACAACCCAACCGAAATTGCGCCCGAAATAAAATGCACGTGGTCCAGCGGTGGCTCGAGTGACCTAGGACTCCTAAGCTAGGAACACGTCGCGTGATCGCAGGCGCCGAGGAAGGTCCCGTTTCCGTGATTCATCGTCCACTGCTAAAATGTTCCGACAATTCCTAGATGCGCTCGGAGGAAAATCGGTACGCTCACGCTGCGGCGAGATTCGAATGTAGAAGGGGCAATCTCGGACCTTGGATAGATATTTCTAGACGATTCGCGTTATTCCGGGTGCCGATTCGTTCGACGGACACGCTTTTCGAGCGGAACGTCCTTCGTTTCTATGTTTAACGCGGTTGTTTTGTTCCTACGTCAATGAATAATAATTAGGGCGGTCCGTATTTTTCGATTCCGTATTTTGGGATTTGGACTAATTCGGAGTGTAGAGTCCCTGTGGGAAGGGGATTGCGGGAGTAGATTGGGTATTCCCCTGAAGATGAATGAAATGAGTAGGTTCGAATATGTACAGTATGTATATATGTATATATGTACCGTCGGTGTAATAAGTACAAGGAACAATTCAAAATAAAACTTTGTATATTTATTTTAATATCAAATTTAAATTAAAGATCATTAATTAATTAAAGATCGTAAATTAAAGATCATTATTCTACTTCTTATCTTATTAATATTATTTTAAATTCGTTGCTGTACGAATACTTCTTACATTAACTGTACCTGGACTTACAGGGTGTCCCAAAAATGTTGTAATACATTGAAAGGAATGGTTCAGGGAGTGATTTGAAACAACTTTTTCCTTAGCGAAAATGTTGTCCGAGGCTTCGTTCAAGAGATATTAACGAAAAACATTGACCAATCAGAACACGAGAATATTAGCGGAGCGCCTGTGATTGGCGCACGCGCTAGGCGTCCGCGCTCATAGGCTACCGCGGGCGCTCCACCGGCATCCTAGCGCTCTGATTGGTTGACGTTTTCCCTTAATATCTTCTCAACGAAGCGTCGAACAACATTTTCGCTAAGGAAAAAGTTGTTCCAAATCGCCTCCCGAATCATCTCTTTCAATGCCTCACAACATTTTTGGGGCACCCTGTATGTAGTAGTTATTGATATTTCATATACATATTTTTGCATTTGAGTAATTTCATTCGCCATCAATGCATAAATATCCGCGGTCTTCTAATCAAGAACGCTGAAATAAACATTTTTGGGACACCCTGTATTGTACCATGTAGTATTACACTGTACAATGTTATGTTATGTTGTTTCATTGATACTGTACATTGCATGTGAGGTAATCAGATGGTGAAACAATTACTCTTATAATTTATAATGCTCAGACTACAAGTATACCGGGTGACCAATTTTAAATTGCCCCCTGTAGAATTTCTCGGAAACTACGTATTAAGTTAACTAGAAGTTATCAAAAAATGTTTCGAACTTTTCGCGAAAACCTCCACGAACTTTTTATATTATAATTGATTGTATTTGTCTGTAATAACAGTCATTCATTAGAATTGACTGATTGATTATAATTGACTGTAAGAACTTAAGACCGTTCCAAACAGATCCAAATAGAACAGACATAAATCCATCGTTAATACTAATCACGCGAGAAGATCGAATTCGTTCTCGTAAGAGAAGATAACTCCCCAAGGATGTCACAGTTGCGGTTTGCGCCGGTACACCTGCTCTATTAATCCAGCGACGGGCGCGCGAACACCGATCCCGATATTCGAATATGCGCACGCGTGGCGTGTTTTAATATGGCGGACACGTTCCTTGAGGTGTATCTACCGTTAAATTTCTGTTCGTACGCGACGATTACATCGTAGGGAATTACGTTTATGTTGCAGGCTCGAAGCGGAATGTCCGTCGGTTCGGGAGGACGGGCACCGTTTAAGCGTGCTACTGGAAATTCGGTGCCGATCGCGGATAAGTCCACGAAAACTCGGTAAGAATCGATATTGTATTGTATGTAGATATATTTATAGCTAGGTATATTCATATGCAGGTGTATTCATATCTAGGTGTAATGACCACCAGGTTGAGACTTATGCGTGTATTAGAGTTGTCCTTGTTTCAATGATTTTTGAAATATATTTTATGAACACACTATATACTTTGCAAATATGCATATAAGAAAGCATTGAATAGAAACTAGGTATATTTATAGCTAGGTGTATTCATATTTACGTGTATTCATATCTAGGTGTAATGACCATCAGGTTGAGATCACTTATGCGTTTATTAGAGCTGTCCTTGTTACAATGATTTTTGAAATATATTTTATGAACACACTATACAATTTGCAAATATGTATATAAGAAAGCATTGAATAGGATATACATGGAATTTTTTTGATGGATCACCTTTCATTTTGTAACTCCGGTGAGAATTGATAAAAGAGTTTGAAAGTTGGAATAGTTGTTATGTAGAATGATGGAAAGTACACCTGAAAATTTCGAATTTTTATCTCAATTATTTTCTTATATAACAGGCTTCTAATTATGAAGCTATTTATGGTAAAGGTTCATAAAACTTTCGTTTATCGGTTACTTTTAATTTTATAACTTGGGTAAAAATTGATGGAATGATTTGAAACGTGGCAGAGTTGTTACTTATAAAGATGGGAAGAAGGCATAAATATTTCAGGTTTTTATCTCAATTATTTCCTTATACACCAGTCTTATAAATATGAAGCTACTTATGGTAAAGCTTCATGAAACTTTTTTCAATCACTTACTTTTAATTTTCTAGCTTCTATGAAAATTGATGAATAGATTTGAAACTTGGCATAGTTGTTACCTATAATAATAGGAAGAACCTCTAAAAATTTCAGATTTTTATCTCAATTATTTCCTCATGATATCTGTGAGAGTTGGTTTTGAATGGGAATGAGTGAGGATGAAAAGGTTTGAATGTTGGTATTCGTGAAGAGTTTCTGAGGTTGGCATACATGTGAAAGAAATGAGGTTAGGTCTGAAAAAGCATGAAATTGTGTAAATACCTTAGTTATTCAACATGTATATATTCAGCAGATATATACGCTACATAATAGCCATAATCTACCATCGATATAGTAGAAACAATTTACATAAAGTATCAATAATGATATAGTTAACTATAGCTCAAAGTATCTACTCAATTCGAAATATATCGAGAAGCAACGGAGTCGATAAGTCGATCATATTTTGACTATCAGTCGGTAAAATATTTACACACTTACCGACTGGACAAAATATTTCATTAATCGTCTCGTAACAATATATTTTACCAGTTAATCAACAAAACACTTTACCAATAAATAAAACCTGACAAGCTACCCATTTTGCCAGTTGCAATCAGAGAATATTTTTCTCGCTTTTAATTATTATATATAAATGAATATTGACTTTACTCGTCGCAATGAAATCAAAGGTACATTACTTTACACTTAAATAATAGTCTCGTTCAAAACTAAATACGATCTAAACCTAACTATCTAATTTAACGATAGTTTTCGTTTGTTAAATAGAACATGGCCCAAGGGAAAGCTGATTACGCGAGATAAGTTGTGTCAAGAATTCGCTTTCCTTTTTTACGCTTCGATGCATACGAAAGCTGTTTCAATTCAATATTCCAGCTAGTCGTTAGAAAACCGTATTAAAAAACTGAAATCCTTCAATTAATAAATTACATTAGATAACTCTCTTCTATACCGACGGAGTCTCGAGTAACGCAGATTCCTACTTTACCAGTCGTCGATTATCACTCAATAGACAGATGGCATCACAGTGGCAATCCAGGTACGTTTTGGCGAATCGAAGGCAATCGTAACTTGCAATGGACTTGCTTCAACAGGCCTCGTCTCGTCTGTCACGCATGGAGAAACCGGTCGCGGCATTATCTTTCCAGAAATTCCGTTATCTACCTGTCGCGGCCATTGGCGTCGCTTTCTCTGTATCGACAGTTATCCGCCTGTGTCGACAGAATTTCTTTCTGTCGAATGCTATGGACGCAGAGCGAATATCGATTTCTTTTTAATCTCAGAAGACTTGTATTATTATTATTATTATTATTATTATTATTATTATTATTATTTGAGAACCTCAGATAAGGTTCGTGTATACAGTAGTATGTATAATACAGTTTCAGAAGACTTGAGTACTCTAAACAGAATTTGTTAAATTGATTAATGTTATCATTGGAGCTGATCAATTTTTTAGTTAGTTAGTATTTCAAAATTTCTTTTTTGGAATCATTTAAGGTAGTTTTTGCTCGAATGCAAAAGTCAATAAATAATTAAATAAATAATTAAATAAATAATTAAATAAATAATTAAATAAATAATTAAATAAATAAATAAATAAATAAATACATAAATAAATTAATAAATAAATTTCAGATTTATTTCGTGACTTTTGTTTTTAGTAAAGAGGTAACTTAATTATTCGTAGTGGGATTGTTGATGTCTTTGGCGACAATTATTATACCAAGGACTAATTGCTTTGCCGTATTATATATATAAACTTCGAATCTAAGAAAATTTATGCGTTGTTCATAGTTGGTAACCAACCATGCAATCTGAGAATTATTTTCGAAAATTGAATACAGTTAAAAAAAACAACAATAAAATAAAATAGCACTGGTCGATTATCTAGTCACAAATGCTGTTATCTGAGCGAGGTTTACAGCGTTGGGGATATAGCTCAGTGGTAGAGCATTCGACTGCAGATCGAGAGGTCCCCGGTTCAAACCCGGGTGTCCCCTAAAATTTTTTTTTTTTTCTTTTTTCATTTTCTCCGTCTTATCAATACTCTCTTACCATCCTATCATAAATAGCAACAGCATAAAAACAAAGTTAACATTGATTTGATTGAGAGTCTCAATTTGAGACATTGCAGGAGACGGATGGTTACGCGAGAATCGAAACGAAATAACATCGATCCGATTCAGGAGATAGTCGTTCCTAGTAAACGGATCGAACGGCAGAGGGCATTGACCAGCGGTCAATTGAAGTGACCTCATCGAATCGTTGCTTCTCGATATGTATTTCGAATTGACTCGATAAGTTTAACTGTAGCTACTATATAATCTATATTATATAATATGTAATGTACTATATTATGAAAATTGCTTCAGGTGCATCGCAGGTAGATTGTGGCTATTATGTAGCGACTATATCTGCCCATATTGTAACTATACTATAGAAACTATGTTTATTGTGTAATGATTATGGTGTGGCAACTATACTGAACTAACTATATTTCTGATATGATACGTATGCATTGGATTAACTATTTTTACTATATACCGAGTGTATGGTAGCAACTATAGCTACTATACAGGGTGTCCCAAAAATGTTGTAACACATTGGAAGGGATGGTTCGGGGCGTGATTTGAAACAACTTTTTCCTTAGCGAAAATGTTGTCCGAGGCTTCGTTAAGTAGATATTACCAGAAAACCCCGGACCAATCAGAGTGCGAGTAGGCCGCGGTAGGCGTAGGCCACGCGCTAGGCGACCGCCCTCTGCCGGCACACTCGCGCTCTGATTTGTCCGGGGTTTTTCCTTACTATCTCCTCAACGAAGCCTCGGACAACATTTTCGCTAAGGAAAAAGTTGTTCCAAATCACCTCCACTCTGTATATACAGGGTGTCCCAAAAACGTTGTAACACATTGAAAGAGGTGGTTTAGGAGGTGATTTGAAACAACTTTTTGCTTAGCGAAAATGTTGTCCGAGGCTTCGTTAAGGAGATATTAACAGAAAACCCCGGACCAATCAGAGCGCGAGTATACCAGTGGAGCGCCCTCTGATTGGTCAATGTTTTTCCTTAATATCTCCTCAACGAAGCCTTGTACAACATTTTCGCAAAGGAAAAAGTTGTTTCAAATCGCCCCCTGAACCTCCCTTTTCAACGACCTTCAACATTTTCAGGACACCTTGTATATCGAATCATGCGAGAATTCCTATTTCACAAAGATCTAAGAGAGATCGTTGTTTATTGCGAATTTCAGATCGAAGCAAGAATCAAGGCCAGCAGCCGGGACAGGGAGAAAAAGAGACGCGCTCGCGTCGCTTTTCAGCCCGAAAAGGCCAGCGCACAGAAAAGTCGAACGTTCCATCGGCGGACACGAGGCAAAACTAAAGGAGCGACTAATGTGAGTATCACCGATGCTCGAGGTACGGTTGGCTAGCACAATGACACTGAATGACACGTTTTGCCATCGGTCGTCGCATGTGCACAGCAGGATGGCACGCCCCCCTTTAAAAATAAGAGAAAATATTGAAAAAGGAGAAACGTCGCTTGTGCATCCTTTACTCTTTTGCAGGCAGGTTCAATGACACTTTATGAAGATTCCTTAATTTCGCAATTTCGCAATTCTGCAATTTTCGTTAATCTGTAGGTTAAAAATGAATGGTGTAGCTTATTATTGCAAATTTTTGTTCTTAAGATAGCAATTAGTCCTTTGCAAGATCGGGTGGTGCAATATATACATTTAGGTGTTGTGGAGGAGGATAGTGGGCACCACTGGCACATACGTAATGGAAGAATCATGGAGAGAGGTATCATCTATGCAAATGCAATAGTAAAGATAGAATTTAACACGTTGACGGATGGTTGTACTCAGTACTATTGGTAATTCCAACTGGGATTCAATTTTGGTTAGAGACTATTAAAAATTGTATAATGAAATGTCTGTCTTGGTATTTATCTTTGTAACTTCATAAAAATTCATGAATTTTGTTCAAATTTATTTTCTTTGATACTTAACATTCAGAATTAAATTTATACAGATTTGAATTTGAAGAAATTCATTGAAATTTATTTTCTTTGATACTTAACATTCAGAATTAAATTTATATAGATTTGAAAGTGAAGAAATTCATTCAAATCAATTTTCTTTGATACTTAAACATTCAAAATTAATTTTTGTTAGTTCTTCAACAAAAAGCACAAGCTCCATCAACGTGTCAAGTACAAATAATTAGACCATGGTGGAAGCAATTGCAAGGCAATTGCATCATTTCCAATAGGATTAAATTTCATTTTTAAACCATTAAAAACTAAATAATAAACCATTCATCGTAGTGTCCATTTTGTTAACCCAATACAAATACACCTAATATCATCCAAATTTATTTTCTTCAATACTAAACATTCCCAATTAATATTTTCAGATATCAAACAAAAATCCCTGTGACCCATACATGGTCATCTAACCCACAAACATATTAAATGATTCCAAAGAACCCTCAAATGCAATGCTATAATCTACATTAAGTATTACATCTCAGTTACAAAACTTCTCGTAAATAAAACTTCGCCTGAAGAGTACGTCACGCGATGCTCGAGATATATCCACATGTCTCCGGCTGGTAGTTTAAGCAACGCGAGTCGTCTGCTCTTCTTGTTACTTAATTAGAGTTTAAAGCCGCGAGCAGTTTGCGCGAGGAAATAAAAGAGGAGACGAGGGAGGTCGAGGCACCGAGTGCCGACCGTTCGACAGACCGACGACCCACTCTGACAATGAGAGCGGCACTCGAACGACCTACATACCCAGTGAATCAAAAGTCAATGGCTCTAGCACGATGCGCCTCGGTTACCTCTCTACATTTACTGGAAACTTCAGTGTTCAGGAGTGGAGGTTAACAAGTTCACTGAAAGATGTTTATAATGTATAGGATAAGAGGTTTATAGGATGAAGGATTATGTATTATGAGACAGCGTAATAGAAAGAATTAGATGCCAAAGCGTAACATGATGTAATATAGTATAACGCAAAACATTAGATAACATAATATGGAATAACACAAAGCATTACGTACCATAATATAG